GTGGAAAATAGAAACTATGAAGAAAACAAGGTAAGTGGTAAGAATTATAATAAGTCGGGGCCAAGGTACAATTATTAAAAGATTAACTTAGGTTTCTTTTTAATAAAAGGGGATTAGAAAACCTAAGAGTGGTCAATACGTATTATTTTGGGACAAGAGGAAAAGTGAAAACAAGGGTTTGGGAGGAAATCACTATAGCCAAAGTTTAGAGTTGCTGCGGAAAATCCAAGGTAAGGGGGGATTACTCTAAATATAGTGATAATTGCATGATGAGTAGGGAGAAGTCATTAATCTCCATTAGGTTTTTCCCTATTCCATTGTTGAATGTTTGACGATGTGGATGAAACTATTATGGTAACATGATGTGATTGTAGTAATTATCCTAAACTTTGTGTGTTGATTTACCAAGAAAATTTAGATGTTTGTATTCTTAAAAGTTGTATGAGTTATGTTCATATGGTTGACATGAATATGGGGAATAAAGTGTTAAAATATTTGATTAATCGATGAAATTTGTGAGGGCAAAGCCTCATATATAGAGATGCTTGTTTCGATGATGTCAAAACGTAGCTCCATAGAAGAATATATGTCAGACGTTATCACTGTGATTGCATTTGCATATCTTGCTTCACATGATTCGTTGCTCGCAAAAAAATATCTCGGTTGTTGCATATAAATTGTCGAAATGTGTGTCATATGAGTTAGACTTCATTGGTGTTGTGTACTATATCATAGACGTCATGAAAAAGAGTCAAGAGTATGAAAATAAGCATCTTTATCAATTTCAGGTCTTTGAGTCGACCAAAGTTTTATTCAGGTCGACTCACACTGTGAGTCATCTTTGAGAGTTTGCTTTAGGTGTGCTCGCGCCGACCTACCGGCCGACTCATACTGTGAGCATTTTAATTTGTCTAAAAATGCATGTTATGCATCGACGCATACCTTGTTCCGATGCTTGTTTCACTTCATAACATTGAGAAAAACAAGAAAAGTGAAATAGGTGTCGATTCGGTTCTCATCATCTTCATTCTCTTCATAGCATACCACAACAATCACACATAATAATCTTTGTTGTGCATTGTGCATTGTTAGAGGTGATAACGTTCGAAGCCGAAGATTTGGTAATCCGGTTCGGGTTAAGGAATCGACAGGTTTTTCTTGAATAAAACCTCTAGGGTTTTGTCCTCCAAGATTCTATAAATTTGAGGGTTTTTGCACGATTCGTCTCAACACATATTCAGCCGAGTGAAGGTAATCGAGGAGCGGTGGGTTCCATCGATTTAGTAACGGTAAACGGAGGATTGTGAAGGAGAGTTTTGGGTTCGACACGCGGGTGATTGAAATCAGCTAGGCCAGATTTTAAAGACGGAAGGTTGTTCAAAGATAATGCCACAATCGAAGGTTTATTCACAAGCTGTCGAAGTACTTGATTCGACTCGAATCAAGGGGCAAGAAGATATAGTATCTACAACAACAAGAGTGTTTGTGTGTTTGATTGCTATTCACTTCTTGTATAAACTTTCAACAACAGGTTTAATCTATATATTAACAGGTCTCAATTATATTATTGAAGTTAAGGGCAGACGTACCCCGAGCGAGGACGACGGGGGAACTGCCTCAACAAATCGTTGTGTCTTATGCCTTACGTTTTATATTGCTTAATATTTGTGGTTTTAGTGCAAACAATTATATCAATCTAGGTCTAGTTTGAGTAGTGCTAAACTGATTTAGAATCTAGTACAATCATTGATTGTACAAGGAAACATGAGCAACTCACTCAAAGCGGAACTCACTTGTAGTGCTCTGCACGCCAAGTGTTTGATAAATTGTCTGAACCAAACGCCTTGTGTGTTGTCCTTTCGTTGTGTTAACATTTTTAAGGCATTGGAACTAGTCACACCATATAGTGAGCTGAATCAAATTGATAGTGTGATTAACATAGTAATTCTCATATTTCGTTATCGGATTCCATAGGCTTAACGCATATCCGATTTTCTAGTAACCGTTCATTTTAGACGGTATAGTTCCTCGGCCATCTTCTAACAAAATTGCATATTTATCGATGGGTATATGATGTTGTAATGATAACATGTTAATTTCTCTGATGTTTATGATCGATTGGAGGGTTTGGGAAGAAATACCACCATTCTGAACTAAACTCCATAGCAGAACACGAATTATGCTTTTGTAACACAAATGACGGGTGTCATCTGCGTCACAACCTGGTCGTCATGCGCTTTAAGATGTTTTTGGTGTAGTTTTGTCTCGCGGTCGATGTTTGGCTGTTGTTTGGTGTGTTTAGATGAATTTTAATTGATTAATTAAATTTTGATTAATCTAATGACGTTGAAATAGGTTGATGATGAGATAATATGTGATGAACATATAATTGAGATTGTGTTGGTAGTCCAGCTGTGGGGACTACTTTGATGTTGTTATTTACAGTTAGATATGGAACTGTAAATCTGTTAATGAGTTGTTGTGTTCGTGCATTATATTGTATATGTATCATATGTTATTGTTGTTGTGAATGAGGCGAGTCATAAGTTCGGATGTTGGGGCTAGTGATTTGTCCAAAGCTCATATGATGGGATTCAGGGTCATAAACTGAACTAATGTTTTATAACGGACTGGCCATAAACCAAAGTGAGATTTTATATTGAGCTGATCTCGAACTGACTGAGTTTTTATACCAGGATGAACTCAAGAACTGGTGTGAAGATTTTTCTCTGGTTATTCTCCACAAACCCAAAATGTGAGCTTTTCCTTAAGTGACTGAGCTCATGAACCAAACGAAAACTAACACTTATCCCCACAAAGAGCTTTTAACAGGTTTAGCTCAAACCTAAACAATTTGTTCTTAAAGAAGAATAATTCACTCAATAGGAAAAAGAACTCTTGCTGAATTTACAATAATACCTCTTCTAGAAAAACTGACTCACTAAAACCAAGAACGTTTCTTAAAGAATTATGACTAAAATTACATGAAAGAATGAAAATTAATTTAGAGAGAGATTGAGAGAGAAGGGGTGGGGGGTGGGGGAGAGAGAGAGAGAGAGAGAGAGAGAGAAACTACTATAAAAATAACTTTTTACCTCGATTGAAAAAGGGCTCTTACCTCGGTTTCACAGGCAAGGTAACGAAGGGCGTCATGAAAAGTGCACACTTTACCTCTCGGTTTTAAAAAACCGACGGGTATGTGTAAAGGTCATGGGTTCAATTCGCAAGGAGATCATTTTGGAATTCTGAATTGCTGAAAACACATCTCCCTTGACTTTTTTATTTCACCGATGGATATACCACATTATCACCTAGGTTATCTTATATATATATATATATATATATATATATATATATATATATATATATATATATATATATATATATATATATATATATATATATATATATATATATATATATATATATATATATATATATATATATATATATATATATATATATATATATATATATATATATAGATAGATAGATAGATAGATAGATAGATAGATAGATAGATAGATAGATAGATAGATAGATAGAGATAGAGATAGAGAGAGAGAGAGAGAGAGAGAGAGAGAGAGAGAGAGAGATTACGTTTTCTGGATGATAAGAAATCAAAGGGAAGACTTTTGTTTATATTCCAAAGGATGGTTCAATAAAGGAAATGATCCATGGGAAAAATTAACTCACCTGATGGATTTGGTCCTAAGGATAATCGATTAGGTACCATAAATAATCGATTCTTTGAGTCTAATTTAGAAGGTTTTGACAGATTGTCGTTACCATTCATTAAGACACTATAAAAATCTATTATAGACTTATTTTTTTCTTATATAATCGATTAGGCATTTCGTTTAATCGAATAAGCGGTTCAAAAATTTACCTTAATCAATCTAAAAGTTCTTAAATTATTTAGCTTTTCTCCAAAAACATTTTAGGTGATTTTATTTGAAAAAAAGAGTCTTCAAAAAATTTTTAAGTGAGTGTGTGATTTGACGATACTACTTTACAAAAATACTATTGTGTTTTCAAAAAACACTGATCACTCAGACAAACATGATCAAACGAGGTTTCACACTTCCTCTCTTTCACACTCTGAAGTTTCAAGTCTTTTGTCGGATATACAAATCATATGAGCACTTCACTTGAATATTATTTTGGATGAGACTTGAGATATCTTCTAGTCAGATGTCTTCACCAGAGAATATCACTAGTGGTTATAAAATCCTAAATCTTTAGTTTTATTTAGAGAAATAATTTGATCAACTGTTTTGTACATCTTTTAACTGCTTCAACGAGTTTTAGCACTTGTTTATTGTTGTCATCAAAGTCACTTTAAAGAGTATTACATTATTTTAGTGTTCTCATCATCAAAATCATGATGTTATAGGATTACACTTATCTTGCTTATCTAAGAGCTTTGATTACTTCCTAATTAAACATGTAAGCACATGATTCCACACATCAGAGTGTTAAATCTGAAAGACCAACTCACTGATCCACCGCATCGAAGATTCGTAACACCGCATTGAAGACTCGCAACACCGCATTTGGAGTCCAATATGATAATTCAAGTATAATTTTGGTTCCTACCCAGAAAATATAGAAATTGATTTCTTGCATTATTGTCTAATTAGCATTGCAAAGAAGTTTTTTTAAAAAACTTCTTTCATTGAATTTGTTTTTTCCAATTAACATACCAAAACCTGAAACCTAAAACAATTGAGGAGATCATAGAGAAGGAATGATTCAAAGGATTAATTACAACAATTGATGAGTAATACTTCCAACATTGCCAACATGAGTTTATTTTGCTAAATTCACAAAAAGTGGGGGGAAAAACAATTATAAAAAGTCTCCACAAATCCAAATATATTTACTTGAAGTGGTACACATTTTATATCAATATATAGGAGTTGGAGATTTATAGGATTATAATTCACAAGGATGTTTACACAATGTTAGCTAGCTTCATGATACTTTTAAACAGCAATTCACCAAATGGAGTCCAAATTGAATGGTTGCTTCTGTTGATGTTGTGGCATACATTCTAAAACTTTTGAAGAAGAAGCACTTGGATCATTTGAGTTATTACTTTGGTGATCAGTTCCAAGTTGATGATATACTACTCCTTGTTGAGGCATGTATGGTACAAAATGATTTGTAGCTGCAACTTCTCTTTGTTGTTGATAATTCCTAAGCTGTAATGCTTTAAGAAGCAATGAATTTACAGAAATATTATTTGGATTCAACAAGTTAGAAGGCCATGGTAGAGATGGAACTTCACTTGAAGAAGGCCAATTCATTGTCAAGTTCATATTTGTGTTAACATTATTAGTGAGATGATCATTGATGTTGAAATTTTGTTGTTGTCCTGAAATCATGTTAGGGATTAATCCACTTGATAATGATGAGTTTGCAATATTATTTAGATTTGGAAACTCCACATCACCAAATTCATTCACCATTGAGGTTGTGTCACATGGAGATTCTGGTTGAGAAGATGTTGTTTGTTGTGGCTTCTTTGTTGCTATGCTCTTTTGGAAAACCCTACAAACCACCCATTCATCCTACAAAATTAGAAAACATAGGAAAAAGTTAGTTGTCAAGTATGAAAACTAATTGAATATTGATGGAGTGTTCAACTCTTAATTCTCAATTATATATTTGTCAAAGTTTTTCAACACTTATTTGGACACCGATGTATATCAGACACCGAGGTACGCTTAGGATGCATACAATGCGAAGAGTACTAACCTTTGAAGTTCGAAAATGGTGTTTGTTTTCAAGTCTATATTCATGCATAACCCAATTACTTTTCTCACCCCTTGGAGCTCTACCCTTATAGAAAACTAGGGTTTTCTTCATTCCTACCAAAACTCCACCACGAAATATTTCTCTATCTTTTCCTGTTGTTTTCCAGTAACCTGATTCAGTGGCTCGATTGGTTCGAAGACCAGTTGGATATTTTCTATCTCTCATGCTAAAAAAATACCATTCTTTCTCTCCCATTGAAGCTTTGCCTGTTACAAAAAATAATTAATTTTTTATTAATATCTTTATTTTATTGATTTTATGCTTCTATACAAAAAAATTAGCTAGTTGCTATACCAATTAATTTGTCAACTTTAAATTGTTACTATTTCAAATTAACCATTTAAAAAAATGTTTAGAGTTTTGAAACTAATTATTATTTTGTTATAGAATATACATGGATTGTTTTCAAAGTAGAATGGGTCAAGTTACTATAAATATGTATAGTAATGAAATTAAGAGACTATAAACAAAAGAACAAGGACTTTGTCGATTTGATCTACTTGTTGATAAAAGTTTTAAAAAAAAAAAATCAATTTAACTCAAATCATTATATACATATAAAAGTTTAATTATATTTTCTAAAAAAGTTTCATTTTATATATAAGCAATTAATTGGTTGAGATGTTTAAGCTATAGAAAAATAAATTGAATGAATAATTATAAATAAAAACTAAATTGAATGAATAATTATTAATAAAAACTAAAAGAAATGATGTTTTGGAAATATATTAAGAGAAAGGATGTTAACTCTTATAATTAACATGAAAATAATACTAATACAGTTTATTAATTTATATTACTTCAACTTTTGAATTAATTAATTTTCATAAACATATATATTCATCAAAAACTAGAAAATCCTTTGCAAAGTAATAATTAAAAAATATATTATATAGAACACAAAAAAATAGTAGTTTTTTTTAATGAAATTAAGAGACAAGAACAAAACTATATAAAGCTTACCTGGGAGATCCCAAGGTTCAGACTTATTGAGATCAACAACTGCAACAGCTTTTGATGTAAAGGAAGTATCAGAAATTTTCATTGTAAGATAATGAGTAATGAGTTCTTCATCTGTTGGATGAAACCTAAAACCAGGAGGTAGATTTTCCTCCATGAATTAATTCCTATTTAATAACTTGAAGCAATAGCTTTTGATGAAATATAAACCCTAATTATGAAGAAAAGAGAGATGTTCTAAAGTGAGATCAATTACATCACCAAGATATTAGCTCTTATAAATGCTTCTCCACTTTATGGTTTTATAACTCACCCTTCTACAACAAGCTTTATTTAATATTAAATTAATAGTCTTCATATTTTTGTTAAATGTTTATATCTAACCCTTTGACAATTTTGATACATGCTCTATTTTTAATTTTTGTATATAGTTTCTCTAAATTATATTTCTAAAATTGACTATGTCAATATATATGTGAGTGTTATTAATTTTGTGCACGAGGGGTTGAGTATATGTTACATTTTATACATTAGTATTTTTGATATTATTAATTAAATTTTATTGATATTTTTTCTATGATCCTGTCCAACCACTTTCACCCATTTCTACCCACCAAAAAAACCATTTATGCTTAGTCCAATGAGAACATGGACTTATTTAACCATATTCTCTTTTATTATTCTTTATATGTATTTGCTAACACTTGTCTATTGTATGCATCTCCACCGTCATCTCTCTCATATATTTATGGAAAAGTACATATAGTCTTAAATAAATAAAATATATTATGTTGTACCCAAAAAAAATATCTAGCTTTTGATTTAACTGGTGAGAAATTTGGCTAAGAAGTTCAGTTTTCTTAACTAAAATATATTACTATAATTGAAAATACAACACAGTTTAACATATTTCTAATTAAATTATATATTTAAGTAAAGACCAACACATCAAAAAGAAATATAATCATATTAAGACATATACGCAAGACCAAATTCTTCTAAAAACATGAAGAAAAAAAAAGCATTTGGTAATTTTGATTTTAAAGAGAGGATGAGTAATGTGGATTTCTTATTAGATATTAGAACTTTATCTGGTGAGAAATGTGCTTCTTTCTAAGGATTAAAGATTCTCACTTGTTCTAAAGTTTTAGTTTTAAGTGGCTTAGGGAAGGAGGTATTAATTTTGGCTAATTTCATGCTTCTATAAAAATTAGAGGTATAAGGAATACTATCATAGTCCTTAAGGTAGGTGAAGGTTGGATTGAATGGGTGTCTGAAATTAGGCAAGAGATAGTTAATCATTTCTCTGAGATCTTAAGCAAACTATATTTCGATAGACATCGCCTTAATGATGTTGTTTTTCGCTCTCTTTCAAAAGATAATAATTTTGCTTTGATGACTCCTTTCAGTCACTTGGAGTTAGATAATGTTATGTCCTAATATGATGTGATGATAATAAGAGTTCATATTCAAATGGGTTTAATTTTTCTTTCTTGAAAAGGTTCTGGAGTCTTTTTAAATAAAATTTGAGGATCATGTTTGTCCAGTTTCATTATTTTGCATCTCTACCTCGTAATTTACTTCTAACTTTGTGTCTTTGATCCCTAAGGTTAAATATCCCTCTCATTTGGGTGAATTTAGGTCGATTTTTTTTTGTGGGATCTTTATAGAAGTTGATGGCTAAAGTGTTGTCCAACAAATATGAGATGGTGATGGACAATCTCATTTCTCATAATCAATTGGCTTTTTGTAAAAGGAGAATGTTGGTTGACAGAATGATGGATATCAATCAAGTGATAGAATGATGGGTTAATGTGGACCTCGTCTTTCTAAACTCTGCAAGTGATTTCCTTAATTGTGAGATTGAAACTCTCTCTTTTAAATACCTTGAGTCACCAGTAAGGGCTAATTGGAACCATTTATTTTCTTACAAGAGGTCTCATTCTTAGAAGCAAATATATGTTAGTTTGAGATGTAGGGTGATTTTTCTTAATTTTGTGCTTAATGATCTTCTCATCTTCTCGTCCTTTTTGAAATTTCTTGTAAAGGTGTGAAAGAAGTTTGTTAGGTTAAAGAGAATGTTTCTTTAGGGAGAGGTGAACGGAAAATCTAAGATTTCCTGGATTAAATGGGAAAATGTTTGTAAGCCTAAGGGTAAAGGAGGGCTAGGAGTTAGAGACCTCTGGTTTAATCTATCCTTTTGGGTTAAGTGGAGGTAGAGATTGCATTATGTGATTCAGGTTTATGGTTTAATATTCTTGTAGTTAGGTAGGGTGATTTAGTTGTTACCTTTTCGAGGGGAACATTAGGATTCATATCTACTTCATCTTGGTGGAAAGGTGTGTTTCTTCTTGGGTCCAAAGAAGATAATCCTTCTGATTGGTTTGTGTTGAAGCGGTAAAGCAGCAAGCAAAAAATATTAAGTACCCAGTTTTGTCGTCTCCACAGGGATCGGTGCAATACGAACGCCGTTCAACGGCCTCCATATTTCTAAGTCTATTGTTCAAAAGTTTTGGTTTAAAAAGTTCAAGGAACCATGGATAAAAACAGAAAATATAAAGACGGAAAATATAAAGTATAAACAGAGCCTTGTTGGGATTGGATCTCATCAATTGATAACACATGCATTCTTCTGATCAAATTAAACACAACGCAATCATTCGTCTAATATCCATACGTATCACCCACGATAGAGGCCATCTCTAACGCAACATCGAGAGAACAACTGTGTTGTCTCATTGGTGATATCTTATCCAACAAAAACACAACACAGAGCATTAAGAACTGATACTCATGAAAATGCTAAGCCTAAACCCATGTCTAGCATTTAGGACCTAACAGGTAATCATCCTAGATCCAGATCTAAAGAGTATGTGTCTATCACGGTTCAAATCAAAGATAAACAAGTAAACAAAGACAACACCTATATCGGATAAACGATTGTTTCATATAAAACACAATGATCAAAATACGTACATACGCTTAGCCCTTTTTACATGTATTCACCTAATCTGCCAAATAGTTGTGAACATCGTTCTTCATCACTATTATCATGCACCCGCACAATATCGTATTGATCCTACTCATGCCACCCATGCTACTTAATCAACATAATAACATAAAAGATACAATGAATATCAATTTACAAAACCATGTCAAAGGTTTGTTCATTGATAGAAGAAAATCTGAGATCAAAGATGTGAAAAGGTTTTGTCAAGACCCACAAATAAGCAATCAAAGATAATCAATCAATAGAGAATCCAAACTAGTTGACAAACATATACTAGACAAAATACATAAGGTATCAAAAGATTACATCCAAACCCCAACAAGAGATCAAAGATCTTACCTCCTCCTTCTTAGGGTTTTGTGTTTCTCTCTCTAAAATAAATGAAGAGAGATAAGTTCTGATGTAGAAAATATTACATAATAGATTATGACCTAAAAAGCAATAAAAATACTTATATAGTACATTCAGGATCTGTCATGTTCGCCTAGCGAACAAATCATTCGCCTAGCGAACAACAAATCAGGCACATGAGGTGCCTTTGAACTGTTAAATCACCCCTGAGATATTTCCAAATATCGCTGGGCGAGAAATCCTTCGCCTAGCGAAGCCTTCGCTGTGAACTTCGCCTAGCGAATTTATGGTCATTTTTCCTCTGTCTCAGGTCTGGGAGTGTTCGCTAGAGCTTCGCTACCACTTCGCCTAGCGAGTTCTTTGCTGCCTCCTTCACCTAGAGAGGTTTATGGCCCTTTCCATTCTGTTGTGAATAGTGCATTGATTCCTGTCCTTCGCTACATAGTTCGCCTAGCGAACTTGATGATGTTTTGATGGCAGCTTCGCTAGCAAGTTTGTCTAGCGAACTTGCTGTTGTTTGCATACTGTCTTGATTTCTTTATCATATTTCTTGTGTCTTAATTTCCATTTTTTTCATGCCTAATTCCTGCACAATAACACAAAAATCAAAGGTACCAATACATTTACACAATATGTTGCAAATCAACCAAAGCAAGAGTGGTTTTCAACACTTTCTTGACAAAAAGGAATGAAAGATGCCAACATTTGATAGACCAAATAAGCAAATTTTGGCATCTAACAACTCTCCCCAACTAGATTTTTGCTTGTCCTCAAGCAAAGTATGCCTCTCATTTCAAACAAGAGGATTTACTCAAGATTAAGATTCACCCAAGAATGGATAAAATGGCTCAAACACACAGAATGCAAACAAGCAATGATTTCAAATGTTGAGAATCAGACAATGCAAAAGAACTAAATTCTTAAAGCAAATATTAAGCCATGTATAAATTAATAACTATGTTTTTCATGAATGCATCACTCTATCTCTCCTCTTCGAATAAAAATTGAAGAAATTACGCGTTTGCAACCGCGAGGACAATTTCACTCACCTAACAAACAATGCCAATATCAATTCAATTCATAAAATATCTAAAAATCAAAAGTGAAAATATGGAAGCAAAAAGATCACTAAGGTTTTTAAGGTTGTAACTTGGTCGGGTTTACAAACAAGGGTCATTTATAAGGCCATTGAAACGAAATTGCCAATGCAAAAGAAACATTCACCTTACATGTTATTTACACATCCCAACTTCATTCCATTTGTTTCTCAATTGTAAACCTTCACAAACCTTATTTCACAACTTATTCTTTCACTATTTTTTTCTTTTCCAAGCAAGCGTTCTTTTTCTCATTTTTTTTACATTCATATTCACATAACAATTTTTTCAATGCTTGCTTAAATTTTTCAAAAGTTGTAGCAACCTACCATCTTTCTTTTTCATTCTCCCCAACTTAACTTTTACTCAACCCTCAAGTGAATGTTCTTGGATTTTTATGGCAAAGAGGACAACTAAAACAAAATTCAAGGGTTCAAGAAAATTTTTAGAATCTCACAAAATTAAGAATGAGATTCACATTGTTTAGGCTTAAAAGGGTTAACAAATTCTCTCTACTCACGGGTGAGTTGCATTTGGAACTGGTTGTGCTCAATAAAAATAAGTGTCTTGATCATTTCTAATGCTTCTAAAAATTCACAATGATAACAAGATAAAGCATGAATCATACGAATCAACAAAGTTTATCAGAAATCCAGCATTTAGTAAACAATGGAAGCTTTCTCACAAATTGTGGTTTTT